GGGAAGGCCAATCCACCATTTATTACTGCCTAGTATTCCTACATCTGCTTGAAAAATATCCTCCTGCAATACATCTCTTTATCCTGCCTTTACAAACTTTAAAGTAGCTTTTGAGTTTGTATTCTGAGCTAAATATGGGAAATACTGGGAAAACCTTAAATGCCAGATGCTTATTATATCTAATACATATGCCAGTGTTTTTCAACCTTGGCAACTTGAAGATGTCCGGACTTCAACTCCCAGAATTCCCCAGCCAGCGAATGCTGGCTGGGGAATTCTGGGAGTTGAAGTCCGGACATCTTCAAGTTGCCAAGGTTGAAAAACACTGACATATGCTATATAAAGGGATCTCATTGCAATTGAAACTGCATTCAATTTTTATATTAACTTAAATATTTATATTAACGGGTGGTGGCACAATACTTATAATGCAGTTTTGCAGACTAATTCTGCTGACTGCCATAGTTCGATTCCCACTGGCTCAAGGTTTACTCAGCCCTCCATCCTTCCGAGGTCAGTAAAATGAGGATCCAGATTGTTGTGGGTAGTATACTGACTCTGTAAACTGCAGAGAGCTTAAAGCACTATGAAGCAGTATATAAGTCTAAGTGCTATTATTAAGTGCTATTAACTTCATGGTAAGCTATGTCTTCAACAGAAACTTTCATTCCCCCAAACTGGAAGACACATCTCTGTTCTACTCTATGCAGATGATGCCATAATACATTTAATCTGCCATCCTTAAATTCCTCAAGACATATACTTGTGGCACTCATATTATTTGAAGCCAAACCAACTGCACAACTTCTTTATGGCCTCTTCTCCAATTCTACACTATTAGATCTTGTTCAATCCAAATTTCTAAGACTGGCTCTTCAAGCCCAAAAGGTGTCTATAATGCCTCTCAAGAGACTAGAGATAGACCTCATGAAAGTGGAAGCTACTGTATGGGTGTACTCTTATCTGAAAATACAGGTGTTCTACTCAGCATGGGATGATTGGGATGTGATCAAGCCAAAGCACTCATTAAACAGCTCGCAGTAGCCACAGAGCACCAATTTGATATAGACAAGTTCCCACCTTTATTGCCAGTGAATCCAACAGATACATTGCTTCCCCTATGACATACTTAACTAAACTCTAAGTATTTAACCACTGGAGGGCCTTTACCCTGGCATGATGTCATGTCCTCCCTTCAGCTGTCCTTGAAGGCTGATACAGGAAGATTCCCAACCCAGAGAGACAATGTTCCTGTGACTGGACACACAGAAACAACAAATCATGTGCTTCTCCAAAGTCTATTTTACAGACATTCATACTAGTCTCATCTCACCATTATTGCATAAATGCATAAGGCACACAGGGCAATTCTATACTTCCCTGGTGCTTTCAAATATAAACCCCACTACAACATATGATTGATACTAGTTATATCAAGGTCTCTTTTTTAAAATATATAGTGCTATTTCTTCTGATACCTCAGAGTTTGTTAAGCTTCAAAAAAATCAGTGATTTGCTTTCATTCACATTGTGAAACAAGCATTTAAAGTTTAATGCATGGACTCCGAATGAATGCTTAGGAATTAATTACATATGAATGTATTAAATAAAAGCATTCTTGGTTTCTATGAAGTTTTTTACCATGTTTCTTAAGCAATGGTTAAAGGGAGAAAGTAAGGTATCATCCATGTTTTTCTTGTCATTATCATTACACAAATACGGAATAGTGTAATTTTCTATTTTCCTATATATAAAAATACTTTTAACACTAGGTTGCATTCATAAACACACAGACTGGAAAAATAAACTACTGAATTTAAAAATATTTTTTATAATTTTGCAATGAATTTGTAATTCATAAATTCAGATATTTCTCAATAAACAAACATGAGATTAATTTCAAAGCAGGATTACCTCAAATTAAGAAAAACCAGAAAGATAAAACTATGTAACACTGTGAAGTATTTATTTCTTTATAGATATAACTGATTTCTTCAAAATATACGATTTGGGAAAATTATTTCCTGTTATCCCCAGAATCCTTTTTACAAAAAGGGAAAGCATTTTAAATCCTCATAGCTCATGCTGTTTAAACTGATAGTCTAAACGCTATCTTTTATAACCAGAAGCACAATAATCACAGCTAGACTCTGCCATTAATCATTCCAGCCTAGGCTAGTTATCTATAATTACTGCCAAACACTCCCTTTGCTTCTTGGACACCAAGTAATGCTAAACTATTATTCTTTTCTCTCTCATTCAGCAAATATCAGTGATCTATGTATGTCTAGATAATCATTGCATGTTATTAGGTTTTAAACTTTATAGGCAGAGCTGTCCATTGCTTTTAAAAATAAAAGTGCTGCCAAAATAATGTCCTTGGTATCATTTAGTACAAAATTGCTCAAATTGGACACTTTCCAGATGGGTGGACTTCAATTCTCTGAAGTCCCCAGCTAGCATGGTCACGGCTGAAAATTCTAGAAACTGAAGTGCGTACAACTACAATGAATCAAATTTGGAGAAGATTGATTTAATACCAATGTACTGAATTAAGGTTTAAGATAGAAAAATGCTGAATAATGCTGGCCAGGGTTTAAGAAATACACAACACTGCTATATCAAGATGTAACAATATTATTATAGATAGGGTGAAATAATAGGAAAATACTGTTTACAGAAAGAACTATTTATGTGCTTTTGTGAAGTTAGGTATTTACATTAATGCCATAAAACATATGTACTGTATATACTCGAGTATA